GAGAGAGAGAGAGAGAGAGAGAGAGAGAGAGAGAGAGAGAGAGAGAGAGAGAGAGAGAGAGAGAGAGAGAGAGAGAGAGGTAGGCGAGGGAACCTTCTGCTCTTTCTGATTGAGGAGAGACAGAGAGAACGCCCCCTGTTCCCTTGTAGGGTTGTCTGAGTGTGTGTGTGTGTGTGTGTGAGAGAGAGAGAGAGAGAGAGAGAGAGAGAGAGAGAGGAAGGAGTTGGCCAGAATGGGAAACTTCGTCTCTTACTCATTCCATGTCGATCACCCGGTTTTCTGAACTCAGCTTGCGGTAGGATAAAAGAGGAGGAGGGCGGAGGAAGAGGAGGGGGGAAGAGGAGGAGGAGGGAGGAGGAGGAGGGGGAAAGATTAGGAGAAGGAGGAGAAGTAGGAGGGGGGAACATGAGGAAAGAAGTGAGGACGGAGTAGGAGTCGCTTACGAGCATTTCGTCATGGCGTGGTTTTCTGGTTGGAGTCATTTTTTTTTTTAAGAATATATAATATAATTTAATGCTAATCGTCCTAGACCCTCAGCCATCCAAAAGAGACTGAACCTTCATGGTCGGTCTCTGTTCTTTTTTTTTTTTTTTTTTTTTTTAACTGGTTAACTCAGGTGGAGATGTTTATGTGAGATGCTGGAGGTTTTGTGCGCACTCTCCTTCATTCTGCGTGAATTGTATTGTACACTGTTCCTGACCCATTTTTGAGTATAAATAAATGATTAATTGAAAAAAATTAAAAAAACCGCGAGCCCTTCAAGTGATCAGCAGCTCTACGAGGAACGTGCGTGCGTTCAATCCAATGTCTTACCCCGAACACAACGCACCCTCATCATGATTGTATTGGACTGGAAACATGGCGTGTATACATTCATGATGATGCCAGGGTGCGTTGTTTTCGGGGAAAGATTGGTAGGCGCTAGCGTTCTCCCCTTCCGCTGGTTTTACCAAATTAGGAAAGTTGTGCAGCGCAAGTGAAATCTGCCCATCAAATCTAATCTTCCCCCTCCTCCTCCCCCTGTCTCTTCCTCCCCCTTCCCCCCCTTCTTCACCTGTCTTCTCCCCCATCCCCGGTCCCCCTTCCCCTCCGCTCCCCTTTCCCATATCGGCACTACAACCATCTTACATGGACGGATCCCGCTCTTTTTGGTCATTCAACTACATTCTTCCCCCCCCCCCCCCCCCCCCCCCCCCCCCTGATACTGTCTTTATCATATCTGCTGTACTCCTTCCCTATTCTCTCTCCGTCCTCCTCTTCCCTCCTCCTTCCCCATTCTCCTCCCTCTTCCCTCCACCTTCTCGTCTCTCTACTTATCTTGTTCTGGTTCCCTGGTTCATCTTCCTTTTGCTTCCCTCCCTCCCTCCCTCCCTTATCTCTCTCCTTTCCTTCCTCCCTCCCTCCCTTTCTCTCCTTTCCTCCCTCCCTCCCTTTCT